ATCGCAGCATTGTTCACAATAGCAAGAACCTGGAAACAACCATGCTGCCCATCAAAAAGAGGACTGGATTAAAAAAAATGTGGTACATATACACGATGAATACTACGCAGCCATAAAAAAGAACAAAATCATGAATTTCGCTGCAACCTGGATGGAACTAGAGTCTATAATACTGAGTGACCTCTCACAAAAACAAAAATCCGAATATCACATGTTCTCACTCATATAATGGACCTTGAACATCCAATGCAATACTATGAGAAAATGACGAATGGTACTGGGAAACTATGGGGGGGAGGGGGATGGGATTAACAGTAGCAAATATCTGTCGGGGGATGGGAAAACACTTCTTATCTACAGGGTGCCTGAATGAAACGTCATTGTACACCTACCCTTAACTGTACCCCACAAAACCATAATAAAAACTACTGATTAATGAAAAAAAAACAAAAACAAAAAAAAACAAAAAAGTTGGACAGTCATTTTTGACTTGAGTGCCCCCTCTCACCAAGAATTCAGTGGATTCTCTTTGCTCTGTGCCACCATTCCGAGCTCCCTCAGTACTCAGAAGACACCCAGCAGAGGACAGAGCCAATCAAATAGCAACAGGTACCTTTACTATTATTAAATGAGCTTGATTCTCTCATGTCTGCAGAGCAGGACAAAACTCTCTTCTCCTCCATTTGAAAAGAAATCCTAGCACTCCTCAAACAGCACACCAAGAGCTTCTCGGGACTCATTTGTTTTGTGGATTAACTCAGGTCTTGAGAGTCAAACTGCATGTTTTGGTGAAAGTCCAGCTTGCCTCCATGAGCAAGAATGTCTCATTGATTAATGACCCTCGGTGACAGGTAAATCAATGGTCATGATGACCAATCGCAGCCATGGACTCCTCTATGACGGTGCATGCCATGCAGCCACACTGAGTAGATGTTTCCACTGAAAAACTCGAAGTGAAATGGGGTGCTCAGCAAGGGTGCTAAAATACCCGGGACTCAGGATAAGGATTAAAGTCTAAGGATAACATGGAGAAATTTTATGGAGGAGACTATCCACATGGTCATACTCCCGAAGATGGCCTCCCGTACTTCAAGTTCTCCAACACCTAACACAATTCTACTGATGGGAACATCATCAGTTTCCCCATGTTGCTTTCCACAACTGTCACCTAGACTGGGCCTCAGCATCATGTTAAACTTTCAGTCATCACCGCTCCTCCAGGCAATATAAAATGTTCATCATTGACCCAACACAAGGATTTATCAATTTCATATCCCTCGCAAGGACAGTCATATGCTCACCACAAGTCAACCAGGAACAGCATTTTGGAGATTCCATTTTTAGTGGATTCATGTCTAGCCACCTGGTTGCACCCCTTTGTTGCTGGGATAGCAGCTTCTTTCTAGGCCAACTTCTGAGAGAAAAGGAGCCATAACGGCATGTCTAAGAGGATACTGTTACTTCCACTGGAATGCTGCATCCCACAGACCTTTCCTCCAAACACATCCAGATGAGACAATACATTTCTGTTGGGCCCACTGCTCTCAGGTGACGTCTGGCAATCCCTGTGGATCAGGACCCAAAGAACACACCATACACAGGGTTCAGGGTGAGATATTATGGATGCCTGTCCTCTCATATCTCAATTTTCAAAGCAGTCTACTGTGTAATCATTGGGTTTCTTGAGCAATATTTGGCATGTTTGACTCTAGCCTGCCTCTTGTAATCATTGAGATTTCACCTCTTGAGCATTCAAGAGAGTTGATGATTTCACAAGTGAATTTCATATCTACTTAATTTGTGTCTCCTCTCCACGTCACTGCCGCACAGTCTCCCTTTTTGAATCACCTTTCCACAATCCCTGAGACCTTAGAAGATGCTCAACTAGCTCAAATTGAGTGAAAGAATGATTTAGTATGGATCCACCTTCTGTCCTGCTCTACAATATCCTCTTATCCCTTAGACTAGCAGAGCCTCTTGGACCTCATCAGACACCAGGATTAGGGTATCTGGAGGCTCTCTTTGCTCCAGGCACATAGGAGTTTCAAGAAGAAACTTGGTTCAGAATTCAATTTGGCTCTGGTACTGAGAGTTCCAAGGCCTAAGGAGTCCCACATAAACTTATGAATGATTGTCATGATTCCCAATCCCAGCTGTGCTCTTCCTGAGATGGTGCATGGCATGGTGCCAGCATGGGCAGAATATTTCATTGTGAGACACAAAGAGAGAAGATGATTGAAGGTAGCGGTTGTTAACCTGCCCCATGTTTGTGAAATGGATTAACACATTACAATTGAATTTGCCAATTTCATGGTGGAGTGCTTCCTCTGGGTTGAGCACCCCTGGATAATTGTTCTGGCTTAGAGAGCTCCATGACTACAGTGGTGCCAGGGCCATCATCAGGCTTACATCAGTTTGCACAATTGTCACGTAAGAGGGTCCTAAGCATAATTATATTGAGCATGACTTTTAAGACAACACATCTCTAGAATCAAGTCAAAGGTTTGATCATTGACCCAGCTTGGAATCTTCCTTTGCTGCCTCTTTTTGAAATAGGCCCATAGGCTCACCAAAAGTTAACAAATGTGAGAAGGTTAGTGGATACTATTTGACTTACAGAGGACATGATGCCAGGCAACTGACTGACATCCTTCGTCCAAGAGACTGACACTTAATCTCTATGCCTTTTCTGAAGATAGGATCTCTGTGAAAAGGAGCAGTACAGCCTGTGTGAACAAGCTGTCTAGTACCTCCCTAGGTATGCTACCTCACACAAGCAGTTCCTCCACATAATGATGAAATACGATAACTGCTCATGTGGAATCCATTCAGTAGGCTGAGACAAAAGGCCCACCATGTCCTGAGTGAAGTCCAGACAGGGTACTTTTGATATAGCTTGGACAAGTCTCTTTTCGTATCTCAGGTGCAAATATGTTCTGCAGTCACAAAGGTGGGTTTTCATGGCACAGCTTGATTATGGGCCGCTTTGCCAGCAATTTGACAGGAATGTGATCTTGCAACTTGAGTTTTCAAGAAAGACTGGGGTTTCCAAAAAGTTGAATACTCATTTTTGAGTTTACTGACCACTCTAACCAGGAATCCAGTGGATTCTCTTTGCTCTGTGCCACCATTATGAGCTCCTTAAGTACTCAGAAGATGCCCAGCAGAGGACAGGGCCAATCAAATCGATAGCAACAGGTACCTTTACTATTATTAAATGAGCCTGATGCGCTCATGTTTGTAGAGCAGGACAAAACTTCTCCATTTGAAAAAGAATCCTAGGACTCCTGAAACAGCACACCAGGAGCTTCTCAAGCTTCATTTGTTTTGTGTATTAACTTGGGCCTTGAGAGACAGACTGTATGCATTGGTGAACATTCAGCTTGGCTCCAAGAGCAAGAATGCCTCATTGATTGATGACTCTTGGTGACTGGTAAATCGTTGGTCATAAAAACCAATCGCACCCACGGACTCCTCTATGATGGTGCATGCCATGCAGCCAGACTGTAGATGTTTCCACTGAAAGACACAAAATGAGATGAGGTGCACATCAACAGGTGTTAAAATGCCCGGGACTCAGAGTGAGGATTAAAGTCGAAGGATAACATGAGGAAATTTTAAGGAGGATACTATCCACATGGTCGTTATCCCCAAGATGGCCTCCCGCACATCAAGTTCTCCAGCAGCAAACACGATCTCACTGACAGGACCATCTTCAGCTTCCCCATGTTGCTCTCCACAACTGTCACCTAGGCTGGGCCTCAGCATCATGTCAAACTTTCAGTCATCACCGCTCCTCCAGACAATATAAAATGCTCATCATTGACCCAACACAAGGATCCACCAATCCCATATCCCTCGCTAGGACAATCATATGCTCTCCACAAGTCATCCAGGAACAGCACTGAAGAATATTTCATTTTCAGAGGATTCGTGGTCAACCACCTGGTTGCAGCCCTTTGTTGCTGGGATGGCAGCTTATTTTCAGGCCACCTTGTGTTAGAAAAGGAGCCATAAGAGTGTGTCAAAAAGGATACTGAGACATCCACTGGGATGCTGCATCCCACAGATCCTTCCTCCAAACACATCCAGATGAGAAAGCAGATGGGCCCTCTGTTTTCGGGTGACATCTGGCAATCCCCGTGGATCTGGAGCCAAGGAACACACCATACACAGGATTCAGGGTGAGACATTTTGGATGCCTTTCCTCTCATATCTGAATTTGCAAAGCGGACTACTGTGTAATAACTGGAGTTCTTGAGCAATATTTGGCATGTTTGACTCTAGCCTGCTCCTTGAAGTCAATGAGATTTCACATCTTGAGCATTCAAAATTGTTGATGATTTCACATGTGGATTTCATATCTACTTCTTAGTTTGTGTTCCCTCAGAACATGACTGCAGCACAATCTACTTTTTACGTTACCATTCCACACTCCCTGAGACCTCAGAAGATGCTCAATTAAGGACATAGTCTGGCAAAAATTGAATGAACGAATGACTTAGTATGTATCTAGTTACTAGCCCACTCGACAAAATCCTCTTATCCCTGAGATTAGAGGAGACACTTGTACCTCACCAAACACTAGGCTGAGAGCATCTGAAGGCTTTCATTGCTCCAGTCTAATACGGGTTTCAAGAGAAATATTGATTCAGAGTTCAAATGGCTCCAGAACTGAGAGTTCCCAAGCCTAAGGGGGCCCACAGGAACTTATGAATGATAGTCATGACTCCCAATCCCAGCCATGCTCTCCATTGGGATGATGCATGCCATTTTACCAGTGTGGGCAGAATATTTCATTGTGAGACACAAAGAGAATTTGAACTAAGGAAGGGTTTGTTAACCTGCCTCGCGTTTGTGAAGGGGTCAAGACACTACAATCGAATTTGCCAATTTTATGGTGGAGTGCTTCATCTGGGTTGAGCACCCCTAGATGGTTTCTCTGGCTTAGAGAGCTGCACCAATAAAGCGGTGCAAGGGTAATCATCAGGCTCATGTCACTTTGCACAATTGTCCTAAGCATAACTATATTGAACATGACTTTTAAGACAACACATCTCTAGAATAAGTCAAAGATTTCATCATGGACCTGGAGAAGAATCCTCCTTTGCAACCTCTTTTTGAAAGCGGCCCATAGGCTCACCAAATGTAACCAAGTATGACCAGATTAGTGGAGACTATTTGACTTTCAGAGGACATGATGTCAGACACCTGGCAGACATACTTCATCCAAGAGACTGACACTTCATCCCTAGGCCTCCTCTGAAGATGGGATCTTTGTGAAAAGGAGGAGGACAGCTTCTGTGCACAAGCTGTCTAGTACCTCCCTAGGTATGCTGCCTCACACAAGCGGTTCCTCCACATAATGATGAATTGAGATACTTGCTCATGTGGAATACATCCTGTAGGCTGAGACAGAAGGTCCCCCAGGTCTCAAGGCAAGTCCAGACAGTGCACTTTTGATACAGCTTGGGTATGTCTCCTTTGGTATCTCAGGTGGGAATATGTTCCTCGATCTAAAAATTGGGGTTTTGAGGCAGAGCTTGGATACAGGACATTTTGCCAGCAGTTTGACATGAGTGTGTTCTCACATCTTGAGTTTTCAAGAAAGTCAGTGGTATCAAAAAAGTTGGACAGTCATTTTTGACTTTTATGCCTCCTCTAACCAGGAATCCAGTGGCTTCTCTTTGCTCTGTGCCACCATTCCAGGCTCCCTATGTACTCAGAAGACGCCCAGCAGAGGAAAGGGCCATTCACATTGTAAACACAGATACCTTGACTATTATTAAATGAGTCTGATTCTCTCATGTTTATAGAGCAGGACAAAACTCTCTTCTCCCTCCATTGGTAGAAATTTCCTAGGACTAATCAAACAGCACACTAAGAGCATCTTGAGGCTCATTTTGTTTCTGGATTCACTCCATGCTTGAGAGACAAACTGCATGCATTGGTGAAAGTCTATCTTGTCTCCATGAGTAAGAACGCCTCATTGACTGATTACCCTTGGTGACTGGTCAATCATTGGTCATGAAAACCGATTGCAGCCCTGGAGTTCTCTATGATGGTGCATGCCTTGCAACCACGCTGAATAGATGTTTACACTGAAAGACACAAAGTGAGATGGGGTGGTCAGCAAGGAGTGCTAAAATGCCCCGACTCAAAATGAGGATTAAAGTTGAAGGATAACATGGGGAAATATTATGTAGAAGACTATCCACATGGTTGTACTCCCCTAGATGGCCTCCCATACTTCAAGTTCTCCAGCACCAAACATGGTTGTACTAATGGGACCATCATCATCTTCCCCATGTTGGTTTGCACAACTGTCACCTAGGCTGGGCCTCAGCGTCATGCGTGATCTTTCAGTCATCACCGCTCCTCCAGGCAATTTAAAATGCTCATCATTGACCCAACACAAGGATCCGCTAATCCCATATCCCTAGCAAAGACAGTCATATGCTCACCACAAGTCAACCAGGAATAGCATTTTGGAGATTATTTCATTTTCAGAGAATTCGTGCCCAACCACCTGGTTACGGCCCTTTGTTGCTGGGATAGCAGCTTATTTCCAAGACAACTTCTGAGAGAAAAGGAGCGAAAAGGGCGTGTAAAAAAAAAATACTGATTATTCCACTGAGATGCTGCATCCCACATACCTTTCCTCCAAACACATCCAGATAAGACATTACATTTCGTTTGGGCCCTTTGCTTTCAGGTACATCTGGCAATCCCTGTGGATCAGGAGCCAAAGAACACCCCATACACAGGGTTCAGAATGAGACATTTTGGATCCCTCTCCTCATATCTCAATTTGTAAAGCAGTCTACTGTGTAATAATTGAATTTCATGAGCAATATTTGGCATGTTTGACTCTAGCCTGCTGCTTGTAATCAGTGAAAATTCACCTCTTGAGCATTCAAGATAGTTGATGATTTCACTAGTGGATTTCATATCTACTTCTTAATTTGTTTCCCCTCTCCACATGACTGCCGCACAATCTTCTTTTTTGTACCACCATTCCACACTCCCCAAGACCTCAGAAGATGATCAACTAAGACATCGTCTGGGCGAAGTTGAGTGAAATAATGGTTTATTATGGATCCAGCTTCCATTCTGGTCTACAAAATCCTCTTATCCCTTAGATTAGCGGAGACACTTGGACCTCATTACACACCAGGCTGAGAGCATCAGAAGGCGCTCTTTGCTCCAGTCTCATAGGGGTTTTAGATAAAAGGTACTCATATTGGTTCAGAATTCAATTTGGCTCCGGAAATGAGAGTTCCCAAACCTAAGGGGTCCCACATTAACTTATGAATAATCGTCATGACTCTCAAACTAGACATGCTCGTCCCTGGGATGTTGCATGCTATGGTGCCAGTGTGGGCAGAATATTTCATTGTGAGACACAGAGGGAGAAGATGATCTAAGGAAGGGGTTGTTAACCTGCCCCACATTTGTGAAAGGGTCAAGACAGTAGAATCGAATTTGCCAATTTCATGGTGGAGTGCTTGGTCTGGGTTGAGCACCCCTTGATGGTTTCTCTGGCTTAGAGAGTTCCAGGACTACAGTGATGCCAGGGCCTTCAACAGGCTAACGTCAGTTTGCACAAATGTCACGCAAGTGGGTTCTAAGCTTAATTATATTGAGCATGACTTTTAAGACAACACATCTCTAGAATCAAGGCAAAGGTTTGATCATTGACCCAGCTAGGAATCCTCCTTTTCCCCCTATTTTGAAATAGGCCATAGGCTCCCCAAAAGTAACCAAATGTGAGCAGATTAATGGAGACTATTTGACTTTCAGAAGACACGATCCCAGGCACCTGGTTGACATCCTTCATCCGAGACTGACACTTATCCTCTAGGCCTTCTATGAAGACAGGATCTCTTTGAAAGGAGGGGGAAAGCTTGTGTGAAAAAGCTGTCTAGTACCTCCCTACGTAAGATGCCGCACATATGTGGTTCCTCCACAGAATGATGAAATGAGATACCTGTTCATGAAGAATTCCTCCTGTAGGCTGACACAAAAGGTCCAACAGGTCATTAGCCAAGTCCAGACAGGTTGCTTTTGATATAACTTGGACATGCCTCACTTCGTATCTCAGGTGCAAATATGTTCCTCAGTCTCAAAAAATGGGTGTTCATGACACAGCTTGGTTAAGGAATATTTTGCCAGCAGTTTGAAATGAGTGTGTTAGCTGGGCTCGGTGGCTCAGCCTGTAATCCCGTGCCTTTTGGAGGTGAGTGGATTGCCTGAGCCTGCGGGCTTAAGACCCGCCTGGGCAACTTGGCGAGACCTCATCTCTACAATAAATCTAAAAAATTAGCTGGGCATGGTAGCACACACCTGTAATTCCAGCTACTTGGAAGGCTGAGGCGGAAGGATTGCTGGAACCCAGCTGGTCGAGGCTACGGTGGCCACGAGCGGCCACTACACTCCAGTCTGGGTGACAGAGTGAGACTCCAACTCAAAAACAAAAAACAACAAAAAAAGAAATGAGTGTGCTCTTATATCCTGAATTTTCAAGAAAGATGGTGGTTTTGAAAAAGTTGGACAGTCATTTTGACTTGAGTGCCCCCTCTCTCCAGGAGTCTGGTGGATTCTCTTTGCTCTGTGCCACCATTCCCATCTCCCTACGGACTCAGAAGATGCCCATCAGATAACAGGGTCATTAACATTGTGAGCCACAGAAATGTTTACTAGTATTAAATGAGTCTGATTCTCTGATGTCTATAGAGCAGGACAAAACTCCCTTCTCCCTCCATTTGGAAAAGAATCCTAGGACTCCTAAAACAGCACACAAAGTGTATCAAGGTTCATGTGTTTTCTGAGTTCACTCAGGCCTTGAGAGACAAACTGCATTCATTGGGGAAAGTCCAGCATGCCTCCATGAGCAAGAACACCTTATTGACTGATGACCCTCAGTGACTGGTAAATCATTCGTCAAGGAAACCGATCGCAGCCACGGACTCCTCTATGATGGCGCACACCATGCAGCAACGCTGAGTAGATGTTTCCACTGAAAGACACAAAGCGAGAGGGGGTGCTCAGCAAGGGGTGCTAAAATGCATGGGACTAAGGATGAGGATTAAAGTCTAACGATAACATAGGAAAATTTTATGGAGGACACTATTCACATGGTCGTACTCCCCACGATGGCCTCCCATACTTCAAGTTCTCCAGCACCAAGCATGATCATACTGACGGGACCATCATCATCTTCCCCATGTTGGTTTCCACAACTGTCACCTAGGCTGGGCCTTGGTATCATGCATGAACTTTCAGTCATCACTGCTCCCCCAGGCAATATAGAAGGCCTATGATTGACCCAACACAAGGATTCGCCAATCCCACTTCCCTTGCAAGGACAATCATATGCTCACCACAAGTCAACCAGGAACACCATTTTAGATAATATTTCATTTTCAGAGAATTCGTGACCAGCCAATTGGTTGCAGTCGTTTGTTGCTGGGATAACAGCTTAATTCCAAACCACCTTCTGAGAGAAAAGAAGCCATAAGGGCATGTCAAAAAGGATACTGACTTCCACTGGGATGCTGCATCCCACAGACATTTCCTCCAAACACATCCAGATGAGACATTACATTTCTGTTGGATCCTCTGCTTTTGGGTGACCCCTGGCTCTCCCCGTGGATCAGGAGCCAAAGAACACACCATACACAGGGTTCAGGGTGAGACATTTTGGATACCTGTCCTCAAATATTTCAATTTGCAAAGGAGTCTGCTGTGTAATAATTGGGGTTCTTGAGCAATATTTGGCATGTTTGACTCCAGTCTGCTGCTTATAATCAGTGAGATTTCACCACTAGAGATTTCAAGAAAGTTGATGATTTCAGAAGTGGATTTCATATAAAATTCTTAATTTGTGTTCCCTTTCCACATGACTGCTTCACAGTTTCCATTTTTGCGTCACCATTCCACACTTCCTGAGACCTCAGAAAATGCTCCACTAAGCACATCGTCTGACTGAAGTTGAGTGAAAGAATATTTTAGTATGGAATCAGCTTCTATCCTGCTCGACAAAATCCTCTTATCCCTGAGATTAGCGGAGACACTTGGACCTCATCAGACACCAGGCTGAGAGCATCTGAAGGCTCTCTTTGCTCAAGTCTCATAAGAGTTTCAAGAGAAATTTCCTCATAATGGTTCAGAATTCCATTTGTCTCCAGAATTGAGAGTTGCCAAACCAAAGAGGTTGCACATAAACTTATGAATGATTGTCATGATTCCCAATTCCAGCCAAGCTCTTCCCTGGGATGGTGCATGCCTTGGTGCCAACGTGGACAGAATATTTCATTGGGAGACACAAAGAGAGAGGATGATCTAAGGAAGGGGTTGTTAACGTGGCCGGCGATTGTGAAAGGGGTCAAGACATTACAATAAAATTTGCCAATTTCATGGTGGAGTGCTTCCTGAGGATGGTTTCCCTGGCTTAGAGAGCTCCACAACTACAGTCATGCCAGGGACATCATCAGGCTCAAGTCAGTTTGCACAATTGTCACATAAGAGGGTCCTAAGTGTAGTAATATTGAGCATAACTTTTTAGACAACACATCTCTAGAATCAAGGCAAAGGTTTGATCATTGACCCAGTTAGGAATCCTTCTTTGATGCCTCCTTTTGAAATAGGCCTATAGGCTCACCAAAGGTAACCAAACATGAGCACATTACTGGAGACTATTTGACTTTCAGAGGACACGATCCCAGGCACCTGACTGACATCCTTCATCTGAGAGACTGACACTTATTCTCTAGGCCTTCACTGAAGACTGGATCTCTGTGAAAAGGAGGAGGGCAGCTTCTGTGAACAATCTGTCTAGTACCTCCTGAGGTAAGCTGCCTCACATAAGCGGTTCCTCCACATAATGATAAAATGAGAAACCTGCTCATGTGGAATCCATCCTGTAGTCTGAGACAAAAGGTCCACCAGGCCATGAGCAAACTCCAGACAGGTTACTTTTGATACAGCTTGGACATGCCTCTCTTCGTATCTCAGGTGCAAATATGTTCCTCAGTCTCAAAGATCAGTTTTCATGGCACAGCTTGATTATGTGGTATTTTGTCAACTGTTAGAAATGAGTGTGTTCTTACATCCTGAGGTTTATAAAGACGGTGGTTTCAAAAAAGTTGGATAGTCATTTTTGACTTGAGTGTCCCCTCTCACCAGGAGTCCGGTGGATTCTCTTTGCTCTGTTCCACCATTCCAAGCTCCCTAAGTACTCAGAAGACTACAACACAGGAAAGGGTCATTCACACCATGAGCCACAGGTACCTTTACTATTCTTAAATGAGCCTGATTCTCTCATGTCTACAGAGTAGGATAAAGCTCTCTTCTCCCTCCATTTGGAAAAGATTCACTTAGGGCTTCAGAGACAAACTGAAGCATGGTGAAAGTCCAGCTTGCCTCCATTAGCAAGACCACCTCATTGATTGATGAACCTCGGTGACTTGTAAATCATTGGTCATGACAACTGATCACATACACGGACTCCTCTATGAAGGTGCATGCCATGCAGACATGCTGAGTAGATGTTTCCATTGAAAGACACAAAGTGAGAAGGGGTGCTCAGCAAGAAGTGCTAAAATGCCTGGGACTCAGGATGAGGACTAAAGGCTAAGGATAATATGGGGAAATTTTATGGAAGACACTATCCACATTGTCGTACTCCCCAAGATGGTTTCCCGTACTTCAAGTCCTCCCACAGCAAGCATGATCGTATTGACAGGACCATCATCATCTTCACCATGTTGGTTTACACAACTGTCTCCTAGGCTGGACCTCAGCAGCATTCGTGAAATTTCAGTCATCACTGCTCCCCCAGGCAATATTGACCCAACACAAGGATCCACCAAACCCATATCCCTCGCAAGGACAGTCATATGCTCACCACAAGTCAACCAGGAACAGCGTTTTGGAGATATTTCATTTTCAGAGGATTCATGTCCAGTCACTAGGTTGCAGCCCTTTGTTGGTGGGATAGTAGCTTATTTCCAGGCCACCTTCTGAAAGAAAAGAAGCCATAAGGGCATGTCTAAGAGAATACTGATACTTGCACTGGAATGTTGCATCCCACAGACCTTTCCTCCAAACACATCCAGATGAGATGATACATTTCTGTTGGGCCCTCTGCTTTCGGGTGACATCTGGTAATCCCCATGGATCAGGAGCCAAAGAACACACTCTACACAGGGTACAGGGTGAGGTATTTTGGATGCCTGTCCTCTCATATCTCAATTTGCAAAGTAGATGACTGTGTAATAATTGAGGTTACTGAGCAATATTTGGCATGTTTGACTCTAACCTGCTGCTTCTAATCAGTGAGATTTCACATCTTGAGCATTCAAAAGAGTTGATTATTTCACAATTGTATTTCTTATCTACTTCTTAGTTTCTGTCTCCTCTGAACACGACTGATGCTCAGTTTCCTTTATTGCGTCACCATTCCACACTCCCTGAGACCTCAGAAGATGCTCAACAAAGGACATAGTCTGGCACAAGTTGAGTGAATGAATGTTTTAGGATGTATCCAGTTTCTGGCCCAGTCGACAAAATCCTCTTATCCCTGAGATTAGAGGAGACACTTGGACCTCACCAAACACCAGGCTGAGAGCATCTGAAGGCTCTCATTGCTCCAGTCTAATATGAGTTTCAAGATAAAAAGTACTCATATTGGTTCAGTGTTCCATTTAACTCCAGAACTGAGAATTACCAAGCCTGAGGGGGCCCACAGGAAGTTATGAATGATGGTCATGACTTCCAATCACAGTCATGCTCTCCCCGGGATGGTGCATGCCGTGTTGCTATCTTGGGCAGAATATATCATTGTGAGACACAGAGAGAGAATTTGAGCTAAGGAAGGGGTTGTTAACCAGCCCTCCATTTGTGAAGGAGTCAAGACACTACAATCGAATTTGCCAATTTCGTGGTGGAGTGCTTCATCTGGGTTGAGCACCCATGGATGGTTTCTCTGGCTTAGAGAACTGCATGACTATACCAGTGCCAGGGTCATCATCAGGCTCACGCCGCTTTGCACAATTGTCATGTAAGAGGGTCCTAAGCGTTAACTGTATTGAGCATGACTTTTAAGACAGCACATCTCTAGAATCAAGTCAAAGGTTTGATCATTGACCCAGCTAGGAATCCTCCTTTATTGCCTCTTTTTGAAAGCGGCCCACAGGCTCACCAAATGTAATCAAATGTAACCAGGTTAGTGGAAACTATTTGACTTTCAGAGGACACAATGCCAGGCACCTGGCTGACATCCTTCGTCCGAGAGACTGACACTTATTCCCTAGGCCTTTACAGTAGATGGGATGTCTGTGAAAAGGAGGAGGACAGCTTTTGTGAACAAGCTGTCTAGTACCTCCCTAGCTATGCTGCCACACACAAGTGGTACCTCAACATAATGATGAAATGAGATATCTGCTCAAGTGAAATCCATCCTGTAGGCTGAGACAGAAGGTCCCCCAGGTCTGAAGACAAGTCCAGACAGGGTACCTTTGATTCAGCTTGGACATGCCTCTTTTCATATCTCAGGTGGGAATATGTTCCCCTGTCTTAAAAATTGGGTTTTCGAGACAGAGCTTGATTATGGGACCTTTTGCCAGCAGTTTGACATGAGTGTGTTCTCACATCTTGAGTTTTCAAGAAAGATGGTGGTCTCAAAAAAGTTGGACAGTCATTTTTGACTTGAAGGCCCCCTCTCACCAGGAGTACAGTGGATTCTCCTTGCTCTGTGCCACCATTCTGAGCACGCTAAGTACTCAGAAGACGCCAAGCAGAGGACAGTGCCACTCACATCGTGAGCCACATGTACCCTTAACATTATAAAATGAGTCTGATTCTCTCATGTCGGTAGAGCTGGACAAAATCTCTTCTCCCTCGTTTTGGAAAAGAATCATGGGCCTCCTTGAACCACACACCAAGAGCATCTCGGGGCTCCTTTTTTTCCCTCAGGCCTTGAGAGAAAAACTGAATGCATTTGTGAAAGTCCAGTCAGCCTCCATGAGCAAGAACTCCTCATTGATTGATAACCCTTGGTGACTGGTAAATAGTAAATCATTGGCCATGACAACCATTCGCAGCCATGGCCTCCTCTATGACAGTACATGCCATGCAGCCATGCTGAGTAGATGTTTCCACTGAAGGACAAAAAGTGAGATGCGGTACTCAGCAAGGGGTGGTAAAATGCCCGGGACTCAGGATGAAGATTAAAGTCTAAGGATAACATGGGGAAAATTTTTGGAGGAGACTATCCACATGGTCGTGCTCCCCAAGATGGCATCCCGGTACTTCAAGTTCTCCAGCACCAAACACGATCGTACTGACAGGACCATCATCATCTTCCCCATGTTGGTTTCCACAACTGACACCTAGGCTGGGCCTCTGCGTCATGCATGAAATTTAAGTTATCACCACTTCTCCAGGCAATATAAAATGCTCATCATTGACCCAACACAAGGATCCGCCAATCCCATCTCCCTCACAAGGGCAGTCATATATTAACCACAAGTCAACCAGGAACAGCGTTTTGGAGAATATTTCATTTTCAGAGGATTCGTGGCCAGCCACCTGGATTCAGCCCTTTGTTGCTGGGATAGCAGCTTATTTGCAGGCCACCTCCTGAGAGAAAAGGAGCCATAAGGGTGTGTCAAATAGGATACTGATACTTCCACTGGGATGCTGCATCCCACAGACTTATCCTCCAAAGACATCCAGATGAGACAATACATTTCTGTTGTGCCCTCTACTTTTGTATGATGTCTGGCAATCCCCATGGATCAGGAGCCAAAGAACATACCATACACAGGATTCAGGGTGAGACATTTTGGATGCCTGTCATCTCATATCTCAATTTGCAAAGAGGTCTACTGTGTAATAACTGTGTTTCTTGAGCAATATTGGCATGTTTGATCCTGGCCTGCTGCTTGTAATCAGTGAGATTTCACTTCTTGAGCATTCAAGAGAGTTGATGATTTCACAAGTGGATATCAAATCTACTTCTTAATTTGTTTCCACTCTCCACATGACTGCCACACCATCTACTTTTTTGCGTCACCATTCCACACTCCCTGAGACCTCAGAAGATGCTCATCTAAGGACATAGTCTGGCATAAGTTGAGTGAACGAATGGTTTAGTATGTATCCAGTTTCCGGCTTGCTCAACCAAATCATCTTATACCTGAGATTACAGAAGTCATTTGGACCGCATCAAACACCAGGTTGAGAGCATATGAAGGCTGTCATCACTCCAGTCTAATAGGGGTTTCAAGAGAAAAGGTACTCATATTGGTTCAGAGTTTAATTTGATTCCAGAACTAAGTGTTCCCAAGCCTAAGGAGGCCAACAAGAACTGTTGAATGATGGTTATGATTCCCAATCCTAGCCATGCTCTCCCGTGGGATGGTGCCTGCCATTTTCCCAGCATGGGCAAAATATTTCATTGTGAGACACAAAGAGAGATTTTGAGCTAAGTAAGGAATTGTTATGCTGCCCTGCATTTCTGAAGGGGTAAAGACACTACAATCGACTTTGCCAATTTGGTGGTGAAGTGCTTTCTCTGGGTTGAGCACCCATGGATGGATTCTCTGGCTTAGAGAGCTCCAAGACTAGAGTGGTGCCCAAGTCATCATCAGGATCACGTCACTTTGCACAATTGTCAGGTAAGAGTGTCCTAAGAGTAACTATATTGAGCATGGCTTTTAAGACAGTACATCTCTAGAATCAAGGCAAATGTTTGATCATTGACCCACTAGGAATCCTCCTTTGATGCTTCTTTTTGAAATCGGTCCATAGGCTCACCAAAAGTAACCAAATGTGAGCAGATTACTGGAACATATTTCACTTTCATATGACACAATGCCAGGTACCTGGCTGACATTCTTTGTCTGAGAGACTGACACTTATTCTCTAAGCCTTCACTGAAGATGGCATCTCAGTGAAAAGGAGGAGAACATCTTGTGTGAACAAGCTGTCTAGTACCTCCCTAGGTATGCTGCCTCACACATGCGTTTCCTCCACATAATGATGAAATGAGATAACTGCTCATGTGGAATCCATCCTGTAGGCTGAGACAAAAGGTCCACCAGATCCTGAGACAAATCCAGACAGGGTACTTTTGATACAGCTTGGACATGCCTCTCTTCGTATCTCTGGTACGAATACATTCTGCAGTGTCAAAGATGGGTTTTCGTGGCACAGCTTGGTAATGGGACCCTTTACCAACCATTTGACATGAGTGTCTTCTCACATCTTGAGTTTTCAATAAAAACAGTGGTTTCAAAAAAGTTGGACCATCATTTTTGACTTGGTATCCCCTCTTATCAGGAGTCCAGTGGATTCTCCTTGCTCTGTGCCACCATTCAAGCTCCCTAAGTACTCAGAAGACGTTCAACAGAGGACAGGGCTATTCGTACCATGGGCCACAGATACCTTGACTATTGTTAAATGAGCCTGATTCTCTCATGTCTGTAGAGCAGGAAAAAACTCTCTTCCCCCTCCATTTGGTAAAGAATCATGGGCTACCTTGAACAGCACACCAAGCTCATCTCAAGTCTCCTTTTATTTCTGGCTTACCTCAGGCCTTGAGAGAAAAACTGAATGCATTTGTGAAAGTCCAGCTTGACTCCATGAGCAGGAACTCCTCATTGATTGATGACCCTGGGTGACTGGTAAATTAGTAAATCACTGGTCATGACAACCGATTGCAGCCATGGCCTACTCTATGACAGTGCATACCATCCCACCATGGTGAGCAGATGTTTCCACTGAACGACAAAAAGTGAGATGGGGTGCTCAGAAAGGGGTGCTAAAATGCTCAGGACTCAGAATGAGGACTAAAGTCTAAGCATAGTATGGGGAAATTTTTTGGAGGAGACTATTCACATGGTCGTGCTCCCCAAGATGGCCTCCCACTACTTCAAGTTCTCCAGCACCAAACACGATTGTACTGCCAGGACCATCATCATCTTCCCCATGTTGGTTTCCACAACTGTCACTTAGGCTGGGCCTCAGCGTCATGCGTGAACTTTCAGTCATCACCATTTCTCCAGGCAATAAAAAATGCTCATCATTGACCCAACACAAAGATCCACCAATCCCATATCTCACAAGGACAGTCATATACTCACCAAAAGTCAATCAGGAACAGCCTTTTAGAGAATATTTCATTTTCAGAGGATTCATGGCCAGCCACCTGGTTGCAGCCCTTTGTTGATGGGATAGCAGCTTAGTTCCAGGCCACCTTCTGAGAGAAAAGGAGCCATAAGGCCATGTCAAAAAGGATACTGATACTTCCACTGGGATGCTGCATCCCACAGACCTTTCCTCCAAACACATCCAGATGAAACAATACATTTCTGTTGGGCCCTCTGCTTTCGGATGACGTCTGGCAATCCCCGTGGATCAGGAGACAACGAACACACCAGATACAGAGTTCAGAGTGAGTCATTTTGGATGCTTGTTCTATCATGTCTCAATTTGCTAAGCAGTCTACTGTGTAACAGATGGGCTGCTTGAGCAATATTTGGCATGTTTGACTATAGCCTGCTGATTGCAATCAGGGAGATTTCACCTCTTGAGCATTCAAGGGAGTTGATTATTTCACAAGCTGATTTCATGTCTATTTCTTAATTTGGGTCCCCTCTCCACATGACTGCCACACAGTCTACTTCTTGCATCACCATTCCACACTTCCTGAGACCTCAGAAGATGCTCAACAAAGGCCATTGTCTTGCTCAAGTAGAGTGAAAGAATGGTTTAGTATGGATTCAGCTTCTGTTCTACTCGAAAAAATCCTCTTATCACTGAGATTAGAGGAGACACTTGGACCTCATCTGATACCAGACTTAAAGCATCTGAAGGCTCTCTTTGCTCCAGTCTCAAAGGGGTTTCAAGAGAAAAGGTACTCATATTGGATCAGAATTCAATTTGTCTCTAGAACTGAGAGTTCCCAAGCCTAAGGGGTCTCACATAAACAAATGAAAGAGCATCATGACTCCCAGTCCCAGTCATGCTCTTCCCTGGGATGGTGCATGCCATGGTGCCAGTGTGTGCAGAATATTTCATTATGAGACACAAAGAGAGATGATCTAAAGAAGGGGTTATTTACCTGTCCCGTGTTTGTGAAAGGGGTCAACACATTACAATCGAATTTCCCAATTTCATGGTGGAGTGCTTCCTCTGGGTTGAGTACCCCTGGATAAATTCTCTGACTTAGAGAGCTGCACAACTAAAGTTGTGCCAGGGTCATCATCAGTTTGCACGATTGTCACGTAAGAGGGTCCTAAGCATAATTATATTGAGCATGACTTTTAAGACAACACATTTCAAGAATCAAGACAAAGGTTTGATCATTTACCCAGCTAGAAATCTTCCTTTCCTGCCTTTTTTTGAAATAGGCCCATATGCTCACCAAATAACCAAATGTGAGCAGATTACTAGACACTATTTGATTTTCAGAGGACACGATGCCAGGCACTTGGCTGATATACTTCGTCCGAGAGACTGACGCTTATTCTCTAGGCCTTCACTGAAGATGGCAACTCTATGGAAAGCAGGACAGCTTGTGTGAACAAACTGTCTACTAACTACCTAGGTATGCTCCCTCACACAAACGGTTCCTCCACATATTTATGAAAAGAGATACCTGCTCATGTGGAATCCATCCTGTAGGCTGAGACAAAAGGTCCACTAGGTCCTTAGCCAATCCAAACAGGGTACTTTTGATACAGCTTGGACATGCTTCTCTTTGTATCTCAGGTGTGAATATGTTAGCCGCAAAAATGGATTTTCGTGGCAGAACTTTGTCATGGGATATTTTGCCAGCGGTTTGACATTAGTGTGTTCTCACATCTTGAGTTTTCAAGAAAGTCAGTGGTTTCCAAAAAGTTGGACAGTCATTTTTGACTTGTGTGCCCCCTCTCACCAGGAGTCCAGTGGATTCTCTTTGCTCTGTGCCACCATTCCGAGCTCCCTAAGTACTCAGAAGACGCCCAGCAGAGCACAGGGTCATTCACATCGTAAGACACAGATACCTTGACTATTATGAAAACAGCCTGATTCATATCTGTCGAGCAAGACAAAACTCTCTTCTCAATCCATTTGGAAAAGAATCATGGGCCTCCATAAACAGCACACCAAGAGCATCTCGAGGCTCCTTTTTTTCTGTCTTCCCTCAGGCCTTGAGAGAAAAACTGAATTCATGTGTGAAAGTCCAGCTTGCCTCCATGAGCAAGAATTCCTCATTGATTGATGACCTTTGGTGACTGGTAAATCGGTAAATCATTGGTCATGACAACCGATCGCACCCATGACCTCCTCTGTGACAATGCATGCCATGCAGCCTCACTGAGTAGATGTTTCCACTGAAAGACCAAAAGTGAGATGGGGCTCTCAGCAAGGGTCGTAAAATGCCCAGGACTCAGGATGAGGATTAAAGTCTAAGGATAACATGGGGAAATATTTTGGAGGAGACTATCTGCATGGTCGTGCCTCCCAAGATGGCCTCCCGGTACTTCAAGTTCTCCAGCACTAAACATAATTGTCCTGCTGGGACCATCATCATCTTCCCCATATTGATTTCTACAACTGTCACCTAGGCTGGGCCTCAGTGTCATGCATGAACTTTCAGTCATCACCAATCCTCCAGGCAATATAAAATGCTCATCATTGACCCAACACAAGGATGCGCCAATTCCATATCCCTTGCAAGGACAGTCATATGTTCACCACAAGTCAACCAGGAACAGTATTTTGGAGAATATTCCATTTTCAGAGGATTTGTGCCCAGACACCTGGTTGCAGCCCATTGTTACTGGGATAGCAGCTTATTTCCAGGCCACATTCTGAGAGAAAATGAGCCATAAGGGCATGTCAAAAAGGATACTGATACTTCCACTGGGATGCTGCATCCCACAGACCTTTCCTCCAAACACATTCAGATGAGACAATATATTTATGTTGGGCCCTCAGCTTTCAGGTGATATCTGGCAATCCCCGTGGATCAGGAGCCAAAGAACACACCGTACACAAGGTTCAGGATGAGACATTGTGGAGGCCTGTCCTCTCATATCTCAATTTGCAAAGCGGTCTACTGTGTAATAATTGGGTTTCTTTAGCAATATTTGGCATGTTTGACTCTAACCTGCTGCTTGTAATCAGTGAGATTTCACCTCTTGAGCATTCAAGGGAGTTGATGATTTCATAAGTAAATTTCATATCTACTTCTTAATTTGTGTCCCCTATCAACATGACTGCCACACAGTCTACTTTTTTGAGTCACCATTCCACAATCCTTGAGACCTCAGAAGATTCTCAGCTAAAGCCATAGTCTGGCTCAAGCTGAGTGAAAGAATGGTTTGGTATGGATCCAGCTTCTGTCCTGCTCAACAAAATCCTCTTATCCCTGGAATTAGCAGAGACAATTGAACCTAGCAGAGACAATTGAACCTCATCAGACACCAGGCTGAGAGCATCTGAAGGCTGTCTTTGTTCCAGTCTCATAGGGATTTCAAGATAAAAGGTACTCATATTGGTTCAGAGTTCAATTTGGCTCTAGTACTGAGAGATGACAAGCTAAGGGGTCCCACATAAACTTATGAATGATCGTCATGACTCCCAAGCCCAGCCATGCTCTTCCCTGGGATGGTGCATGTGATGGTGCCAGCGTGGGCAGAATATTTCATTGTGAGACACAAAGAGAGAAGATGATCTAAGGAAGGGTTTGGTAACCTGCCCCGCATTTGTGAAAGGGGTCAAGACATTACAATCAAATATGCCAATTTCATGGTGGAGTGCTTCCTCTTGCTTGAGCACTCCTGGAAGGTTTCTCTGACTTAGAGAGCTCCACGACTACAGTGGTGCCAGGGCCATGATCAGGCTCATGACAGTTTGCACAATTGGCACGGAAGAAGTTCCTAAGCATAATTAATTTGAGCATGACTTTTGAGACAGCACATCTCTAGAATTAAGCCAAAGGTTTGATGATTGACCCAGGTAGGAATCCTCCTTTGCTGCCTCTTTTTGAAATAGGCCCATAGGCTCACCAAAAGTAACCAAACATGAGCAGATTACTGGAGACTATTTGATTTTCAGAGGACACAACGCCAGGCACCTGGCTGACATCATTCATCCAAGAGACTGACACTTACTCTCTAAGCCTTCTCTGAAGATTAGATCTCTGTGAAAAGGAGGAGGAGAGCTTGTGTGAAAAAACTGTCTAGTACCTCCTTAGGTATGCTCTCTCACACAAGCAGTTCTTCCACATAATGATGAAATGAGATAACTGCTCATGTGGAATCCATCCTGTAGGTTGAGACAAAAGGTCCTCCGGGTCCTGAGCCATGTGCAGAGAGGGTACTTTTGATATAGCTTGGACATGCCTCTCTTCGTATCTCTGGTGTGAATATGTTAGTTGCAAAAATGGGTTTTCATGGCACAGCTTTGTCATGGGATATTTTGCCAGCAGTTTGATATGAGTGTGTTCTTACATCTTGAGTTTTCAAGAAAGGCAGTGGTTTCAAAAAGGTTGGACCGCCATATTTGACTTGTGTGCCCCCACTCACCAGGAGCCTGGTAGATTCTCTTTGCTCTTTGCCACCATTCCAAGCTCCCTAAGTACTCAGAGATGCCCAGCAGAGGACAGGGTCATTCACATCGTGAATCACAGATACCTTTACTATTATTAAACGAACCTGATTCTCTCATGTCTGTAGAGCCGGACAAAACTCTCTTCTCCCTCCATTTGGAAAAGAATCCTGGGCCTGCTCAAACAGCACACCAAGAGCATCTCGAGACTCCTTTTTCTCTGGCTTCACTCAGGCCTTTAGAGAAAAACTGCATGCATTGGTGAAAATCCAGCTTCCCTCCATGAGAAAGAACTCCTCATTGACTGATGACCCTTGGTGAATGGTAAATCTTTGGTCATGACAACCGATCACAGTCATGTACTCCTCTATGATGGTGCATGCCATGCAGCCACGCTGAGTAGATGTTTCCACTGAAAAACACAAAGTGAGATGGGGAGTCAGCAAAGGGTGCTAAGATGACCGGAACTCAGGATGACGATGAAAATCTAAGAATAACATGGGGAAATTTTATGGAGGAGACTATGGACATGGTCGTGCTCCCCAAGATGGCCTCCCGGTACTTCAAGTTCTACTGCAACAAACTCGATAGTACTTCCCAGACCAACATCATCTTCCCCATGTTGCTTTCCTCAGCTGTCATCTGGACTGGTCCTCAGCATCATACATGATATTTAAGTCATCACTGCTCCTCCAGGCAACATAAAATGCCCATTATTGACCCAACACAAGGATCCGCCAATCCCATGTCCCTGACAAGGACAGTCATGTGCTCACCACAAGTCAACCAGGAACAGCCTTTTGGAGAATATTTCATTTTCATAGGATTCCTGGCCAGCCACCTGGTTGCAGCCCTTTGTTGCTGGATTAGCAGCTTATCTCCAGGCCACTTCTGAGAGAAAAGGGGCCATAAGGGTGTGTCAAAAAGAATACTCATACTTCCACTGGATGCTGAGTCCCACAGACCTTGCCTCCAAACACATCCAGATGAGACAATACATTTCACATGGCACTTCTGTTTTCAGGCATCATATGCTGATCCTCAAGGATCCGTAGTCAAACACAGCCTAAACAGGGTTCAGGGTGATACATTCTGAATGCACGTCCTCTCATTTAAATTTGCGTGACGGTACTGTGTAATAATAGATTTTCTTGAGCAATATTTGGAATGTTTGAATTTAACCCACTTTTTTAAATAAGTGAGTTTTCAGCTCTTGAGCTTTCAAGCAAGTTGATGATTTCACAAGTGGATTTCATATGTACTTCTGAGTTTGTGTCCCCTCTCTACATGACTGCCGTACAGTCTACTTTTTTGTGTCACCATTCCACACTCCCTGAGACCTCATAAGATGCTCAACTAAGGCCATAGTCTGGCACAAGTTGAGTGAAAGAATGGTTTAGTATGTATTGTTTCTGTCCTACTCGACAAAATCCTCTTCTCCCTGAGGTTAGAGATGACACTTGGACCTCATCAAACACCAGGCTCAAAGCATCTGAATGCTTTCTTTGCTCCAGTCTCATATGGATTTCAAGAGAAAAGATACTCATATTGGTTCAGAGTTCAATTTGACTCCAGAACTGAGAATTCCCATGCCTCAGGTGGCCCACAGGAACTTAAGAATGATG